TGATCTTTTCTGGGAATAATGTGTTGGCCCTGGTCCCTCCTTGGACATGTGCACCTCAGTTTATGCCAAAAGCATAAGTTGAGGGTGGCTAATGCAGTAAATAAACTTTTTTATGGCCGTGACCCAACTTTGGGTATTGTGTACTTTGACTCATGGCAAAGCCATGAGTTGAGGGTGACTATTATGAGGAATGCTCTGGAAAGTGGGGTTGAAAGAACAAAGAGAGAGAAAGAACAAAAGTAAAGTGACTCAAGAATCATTTGAAAGAAAAGTGAAATAATAATAATAATAATAAAATTAAAAAAATACAAGAAATACAAGCAAGAAAAGAAGAGAGTCACTTACACAAATGAAGAAAGAAGAAAAAATAGCAAGGTAAAAGAATATGAGAAACTTGGTGAAATAAAATTATAAAAAAATGGTATGGTTAGCCTATATGTCAAGGAGGGCAAAAAGTCACTAAAGTATACCTAAATGTACCCTACTGACCCTGAGCCTATATTACAAGCTAAGAAAGTTCTATGTGATCCTAAGAGTTGTATAGCAAACTTAAAGCAGTGAAAATAAGCGCAAGCTTATGACAATAGATATGAATGAGTGTGAATTTGTTCTAAGAGTGAGTGTTGAAAATTAATCCTTATACTCAAACTGAAATCATTGTGTGAACAATGAGGATTTTGTTTTGAAGTGAGGACACTAGTTGCAATACCGGAAATATTAGCACCTCGGTCAGAAATTGAAGAGGATAGGTGTTAGTGCATGGTGAGTCTATGTCATGGTCTGATTCAACATAATTCAAGCCTAATAGTGATAGCATGCATAAACATGATGAGACTGATCGGGATTGATAGCCAAATGATTGCGAAAGATAAAACAAGGATACTATTGTACAAAGATTTTATATAGAGTCATAATGCATCACTTGAGGACAAACAACGAATTTAAGTTGAGGGTATTGATATACGGTGGTTTCACGATATTTTTAATACTTTTTCCTTAAGTTTAGTGTGCCCAAAAACCTTTTTGTACTAATTTTTATGTTAGTTTCTCTTTATTTGCAGGAAATTTGTCTAAAAGATGAATGCAGAGGTTTTAGAGCAAGAAATACAGAAAAGTACCACCTACGGAGCTTGTGATGGTTCGTCGTGCTCGTGATGGTCCGTAGGTGGCATCGTAGTGCAACTGCTGAAGGAAGATGGGGAATTCTGACCAAGTGTGGGGTTACGGAGTGCGTGACGGAACGTCGTAGCCATGAAGGTCCGTCTTGTTGGTTCGTCATGAAGATCAGAGAAGTAGTCCAGTACCCAAATTCCAAGAGTTCAATTGTTTTGGAACGGAGGCCCTCAACGGACCGTTCTTCCTCTGACGATCCGTCATACCTACCGTCGAGGGTAATGAAGAGAGCAGTAGAAGAAATTGCACAAGTATGGGACCACGGAATCCATGACGGTCCGTCGTGACAGTCGCATTTTGACAGATTTCCAGAAAATAGAGTCCTTATTTAATTAGGTTTTATTTTTTTATAAATAGTTCAAAAAAACTCGTTTTTGTGGTTAGACTCTTGATTATTTGAGCTTCTTTTGTGGATTAGATTTGGTGATTATTGTTACACTTTTGGAGAATCTTTAGTCTTCAATTAATTTCAGTAATTGATTGTTGGTGACTTTTGTTGATTAATCAAGTGAACTTCTGGATTTTATTTTTTCTCATTGAAGTAAGTGCATGAATTCTTATATTACATATTTGAATATTGTGATTATTACTATGGGTAAATAAACTCCATAACTAGGGTTGTGGGAACCATAGGCGAATAATGAGGTAAAACCCAACTAAAATAACAATTCTAGAATAGTGTCTTGCATTATTGATAATTCTTTCGTTTAGAAGTCTTTTTCACGGATGGCCAACGTTAGAACTCGCCTTAATGCTACTTGCCGGATCAAGGAGGTGGATAATAGGAAAAGAATTATCAACATAGATTTAGTGTATACTATCTAATAGGCTAGTATTGATTGGTACGAGGTAATAACTTAGTCAAATATCGAATACGATGCTTAATATGAGGTAAAGGTAAGGGTAAGTATAGCAACACACGTAGCCGGACCAAGGTGCGGAGTGAACCTTTCTAGATGCCAGACTAAGGATTTAGAAATACATAACTTATTACTTGGCATGCAAGATACTAGGAAAGAATTGTTATAGTTAGAATTATCAAGTTATGAACTTATGGGGAAGACGTAAACCCTAGTTACTTTTATTAATTGATTAAACTCCAACATTTGAAGCTGTTAGTTGTCTCTTTTAATTTCGCTAGTTATTTTCATTTATTTAGAAATAGAAAACCCCCCTTTTATCATTTGATTTCCAAGGAAATAATTGATTGAACAATAGTAATAATAGATTGAAGTTAAGTCTAAACTATTTTCCTCGTGGGAATGATCCCAACTTCATTAGTTGGGTTATTTACTTGACACGACCGCTTTACTTCTTATTTGAGAAGTAAATTTGAGTGTATCAAATATCATTGCCTTGAGATGGTCATATCTCTCTTTCAAACCTATCCATATTCAAGTGGATCTTTCACTGTTACGGATTCTACCTTCAGCCTTTCATCAAGATGATGACGAAGGAAAATCAAAGCTTTCGCTTTATCTTGACTTGATGTCGTATTTTCTTCAATTATACTATTACCAAGATCCTTAGCGGTAAGGTGAATTTCAGCATCAAGTACCCTTGACAAATAATTCTTTTCAGAAAAGTCAAGTGTCACAAATTCAAGCTTTGACAAATTCGACATGATGAAAACTATCATAAAATAATTTTGAGCTAATAATATGATGTTGCTTTGTTTATTGTAAATGATAAATTAATACTTTAAATAATAAAGTAACGGATGAGTATAAAATACATTATATGCATGGACATTAATGTTATATTAGAAATATAAACTCATGAAACATTGAAACGGTAAGAGTTAAATATATTTTTTACTTGTTTTAAGTATTTATAACTAGTTTCAATTAATAACAAAGTTTAGTAATAATTTCAAGTTGTATTTAATACAATATTATATTTTTTAGAACAACAAAATGTATGACAAGAAAATACTTATGAGCATTCTAACTATCATGTTATTATATTATTTAGTATTAAATTTAGAGTTATAAATTAGTAGCATAAATAACATACAATATGAACTTGAAATGTATTGATTATTGTGCCTAGTAAAGTATCATTATAATACCCTAACTATCATGTTATTATATTATTTAGTATTAAATTTAGAGTTATAAATTAGTAGCATAAATAACATACAATATGAACTTGAAACGTATTGATTATTGTGCCTAGTAAAGTATCATTATAATACCCAAAGCAAGTTATATATGCAGTAATAAAAATACAGATCAAAGATTTGTGCAAGTCCTATTAGAGATGTTATAAACACATAAATGTACATCTAAATCTAAAAGAAAGTTGATTAACTTTTAGAATTAATTTTGAAGTAAGTAGGTCTCAGTTGGTTAGAGACTCGTGTTAATAATGTGTTGTAAAACGAGAGTAAAACACAATAATACTAAACAAGGAGGTAAGAAAAAATAGAAATATTAAATAGAAGTATTCTTTGAACTCTTCAATGTGTGTTTCATAATGGTGAAAAGACTACTTTTTTTTATAGGATTTAGAAAATACGTTTTTACATTCTTTCACCAAATATGTTAGCACAACATTAAAACTTACATTAAATAGGTTCATTATGTTATCTTATTGATGAAAAGAAATATCCATAATTCAATGGTTTTATAATATTATTCAATTAATTAGATGTTTAATTTAGTCTAGGGATAAAATGATAATCCAATTTATCATAAGTATTTTCTTGTCCTAACATTCGATGTTGAAATTAAAAGGCAATTTATAATATTGAAAATTAAAATACCAAAACAATCCTAGAAAGCTGAGTTATTACAATAAATATCGTATGTATTTATGAGTGTAAAAAATAAAATAAAATATATATATATATATATATATAATATTGCCTTTTAATTTTAACATTGAATGTTATTTCAGTTACTGTAATTATTGGTTAAATTACTTTATTTAATATCTTAAATTTTTTCCACTAATTAACTTATAATTAAAAATGGAATAATCTCCCCCTTCCTGACTCCTCATCAGAAGAAATAATAGAGACAAGTTGAAGATTTCTACAAAGGTATGTTCGTTTTATTTGGTTGTTTTTTGTGATTGTTCATGAAAAATATATATTCGTCTTTGTGTATTTTTAAGCTCTAACCAAGTTTTCTTTTATTGTGCTTCTTTGTCTTTGTCAAATAATTATAATGGATTTAATCTCTATAGTGAGGAACCTCAAAAATCATTGTCAAGGATCCTAGCTTCTATATAAGCTTTCAGAGTTTCCAGATGAATTTATATGTTCGTACCTAATAATATCAAAATGTTACTTATTCTACACTTTAACTACCAAACTTTTTTTTGTTATTTGATTTTATACAATCAGACAATATATAATCATTTGTTATTTAGCAAAAAAGTTGTTTGAAAACTCGAAATATTCATGAATTTCAGCCAGTGTTATTTCACTTTAAACATTTTGTTATTCATTTAATTTCTGTCAGTGTGTTATTTTTAAAATTATCCCAAAGTCCAATAGAAGTCAGAAAATGGCTTACTAACAAAAAGAGAAAATGTTACATGCAACCCAAAATAGGATAATCATTGTTGATACTAACTCAAGATAGAGTTAATGAAATTGATGAGTAGCTTTATTACTAGGTTGAATGAAAGATATCCACTGAGTAGTGAGGACCGTTTAATGTGTTTCAGTTGGTGGGCCTTTGTTTACATGTGAGGTTGGTGAAATGCATCATCAACCTATTATTGGTGTTGGCATCAATATACACTACTTAAGTAATTCTTTTAATGTTTTTAGTAGGAACTCTATAATAATATAAATATGTGCACACATGTTTGTTGAAGCTTTCTTGTGTGGTGTTGTTTTCTTTATATATATATAAAAAAAAACTCAAGACATGTATATCAATATTGAGTGTTTAAAGAGGGTGGCACTAATAGTGGAGGCTTAAGAAAAGTAGAGACGTCTATCTTTATCTTTATTAGAGAAATAAACTATGTAAAAGAAAGGGTAGTAGTACCCTCCTTATATTTTATTAAATTCTTCCTATACCACTCCCTCACTAAATTGTTTTTAGTCTTAATTCCTTGTGGCTAGGGATAGAAACTAGACAAATAACAATGGTGACCAAGAAACCAAAAGTTGTGATAATAGGTGCAGGAATGGCAGGTCTTACAGCAGCTAACAAGCTGTACACAAGTGCAGGTTGTAAAGAATTTATAGAGGTTTGTGTTGTGGAGGGTGGTGATAGGATTGGTGGAAGGATAATAACTTCAGAGTTTGTTGGGAGTAGAATTGAGATGGGTGCTACTTGGATCCATGGAATTGGGGGTAGCCCTGTTTACAAGATAGCTCAAGAGATTAACTCACTTCATTCAGATAAGCCTTGGGAGTGTATGAATGAGTTTTTGGATGAGCCATTGACAATAGCTGAAGGAGGTTATCACCTCAATTCTTCTCTTGTTGACCCTATATGTAATCTTTTCAAGAAACTCATGGATTTTGCTCAAGGCAAACCTCATGTCCAGTTTCCATCCTCCAATGGGAATCTTAGTATTGGTTCTTTCCTAAGGAAAGGGCTGGATGCTTACTGGGGCTCCATAAAAGAACAAGAGGAAACACTGGGGTTTGATAACTGGACAAGAAAATCACTAGAGGAAGGTATTTTTGCAATGCTTGAGAACACACAAAGGACTTACACATCAGCTGGTGATTTGGAGACACTAGATTTTAATGCAGAAAGCGAGTATCGTATGTTTCCAGGGAAAGAGATAACCATTGCCAAAGGTTACTCAACTATAGTTGAATCTTTGGCATCTGTTCTGCCAGATGGTATGATTCAATTAGGCCGAAAGGTCACGAAAATTGAATGGCAACCTGATGATGGTGAAAACTGTGATGTTATTAAGCCAGTAAAGATACATTTTTGTGATGGATCAATCATGTATGCTGATCATGTGATTGTGACAGTTTCACTTGGGGTTCTAAAACAAGGGATTCACAATAATACTGGTATGTTTAGTCCTCCACTACCTAGATTTAAGACTGAAGCAATCTCAAGGCTTGGTTTTGGTGTTGTTAACAAACTATTCTTGCAACTAAGTCCAAATAGGGATGAGTTTCCCAACTTGCAGATGGTGTTTCATCAGTCAGACTCGAAACTAAGGCATCGTAGAATCCCCTGGTGGATGAGGAGGACAGCTTCTTTATGTCCTATCTATGGAACATCAAATGTTCTATTGTCATGGTTTGCAGGGAAAGAGGCTCTTGAGGTTGAATCACTTAGTGATGAAGAGATCATTGATGGATTCTCAAAAGTGATCTCTGATTTACTCGAAAACTCGAAAAACAAGTGTAATGGGCATGCAGACTCAGCCATCAAATTTGATAAGGTTTTAAAGACTAAATGGGCTACTGATCCACTGTTCTTGGGATCATATAGTTATGTGGCAGTTGGCTCAAGTGGAGATGATTTGGATAGTATGGCTGAGCCATTGCCAAAAACGAACAATCATGATTTAAATTCCCTTCAGCTTCAAATTCTATTTGCGGGGGAAGCAACACATAGAACTCATTATTCAACAACTCATGGTGCTTACTTTAGTGGCCTAAGAGAAGCCAACAGGCTACTTCAGCACTACAAATATATTGATATATGAAAAATGTTTGTTGCCATAGAAAACTAGGCAGCCCTTTTTTTAAAAAAATAAAATAAAATAAAATATTTTCTATAATTATTTGTAGAAAGATGTTTGTTGAGTATTAATTAATTCTTCTGTGTGATTGGAATTTGAGGGAGAAATTAGTAAAAGGGCCACACATCCTTGATGTACTAATGAATGAATTAAAGAAGCTTCTTTTTAATGTGCTATTATTGATGAGATCTTTTCAATATCCTTACCTTTACTTTCCTATGATTTCAATGATTTCTTTGCTCATAAAGAAGAGCACCAGTTATTTGATTAGTAGATATAAAAAGATAAAGAAGCTTTGAATATCATTATGTTTGGTTCCAACTTTGGATATGTTCTCTTAGTCCGAACCACAATTGTGAATTTCGAAGAAGAAAGGACTATCAACTGGCTGAATATATGAATTATTCACATTTTGCCTTTTTCTGCAAAAATAGAGCTTGAAATCATAAAAGGGCAGTAGAAAAAAAAAACTAACATTGAGTCTGATTTGGATTATCTTGTTTTAAGTGTTTTTAAGAAGTTTTGTAGCGTAGTGGTATATAGAATTATTTACTGTTTTTTGAAAAAGTAGTTACTGTGTATTAAAAATGAGAGAGTAAGTATGGGCTGTTGGGTATGTAGCAACAATTGATGGGAAATAGAGGGAAGGAGAGGAATTTGAAAAGTTTAGAACTTGAAATGTTGGAACTTGAAAAGTCCTCTAATGCTTTATTGAAAAAGGCAATAGTCTCTCATCGATAATGGAAATGAAAATAGGAGAATTTAAATAAATAAACACTCCTATTAATTGTTAAAAGGGTTGGAAAGAGGGACCCCCTCGCGCCGTCGTCGTCGCTCGCTGGCTTTGGCTTTGGCAAATGATCGATCGAGAGATAATTTTATTCTTGCCTATAAATACCATTCAGTATTCAGAATATTTCCTAACGAATTTTCTGATCTTCCTTCTTCTTAAAAACATATATTTCTTCGTGTACTTTCCTGCTGTGGATTGATTCGCCGACAGTAGAGTTTTTGGTTGGTATCTATACTCTACTGATTAAGATCATTTTACCCTGGGAGGTTATATTCCAAATCAAACCTCGGATACTAGAGGGGAATAATTTCCTTAAGGGGACACTGTGAATTCAGTGAACTTGATTTTCTTCCTAAAAAGAGAAATAAAAGAGTATTCAACATTCTGGTAAGTTTTACAGATTAAATTATTTTTTACAAATAAATTTCTGTTCATCTTTTTTACTGGTTCTAAAAATCTCAGTTACTTCGTGTTTCTGAATGATTTATTACAACCAGTAATTTCTGATTTTCTTAACACAGTTTGGCAACAATCTTAAGGAAATTATATAAATCTGTATTTCTGGTGGAGACAAAAATCTTTGTGATTTTATACTCCTTTAAGTCTGCAATTATAATTTATTGTTTACTTATATTGTATCAATTTTGTTTATCAGAAATGGAAAACACTGGTGTTACAGTGACTGTTGCTGCACCAACCCGAAATCTTGTATCACAAGCA